TCTTGGACACCTGCAGTTCCCAGATACCCCTTATCCCTGTGTCCTGTTTTTCTAGGCTGTTTTTTTCTTAAAGCTATGTCAACTATAACGATCTATCTTGTGAGAATTCTCAGTATGTTCTCTAGCTGCACTCTCTCTGTATATTTTTCTCTATGTATCCTGCACCTCAGTAATTTTCCATTGCTACTGTTACAAAGCCATCAAACTTAACATTACTTAAAACTACTTCTAAAGATTTCTATATCCCATCTTGTAATTTTGTGCCCCTTTGTCTCACCACCCACCACCACACCAGAAGCTCCCCTAACCAACAGCATGCTGCCCATGGTACTCGGTAAGGTTATACCAGCATGGGTACCACAAGGGGTACGGGTGGGCACTCTGAGTGCCACACAGCTCACTGGAACCGGCAGAGAGGTTGGGATACCATGCTGCCAGCAGCTCAGTGGCTCTTGGGTGGGGTGGCCCTTGGCAGCCTGGAGCTGGAGCCACTAAGGAGGGGTGACACACAGATCCCAGGTCCCCTTCAGTCCACTGGGTTGGGGATGCAGGGCTGGCTCTGCCTACCCAGAGCTGGGGGGGACAAACTGAGCACCCCAGAAAACAAATGAGGCTCTAATATCTCACAGCTGGCCCAGAGGGTCTTTTAGGGCTTGCTAGGTTCTGAGGGGTGCTGCTGGCAGAGGGATGGGGGCTGCAGCACATCCTCATCTGCTGCTTCCCTCAGCTGCTGCTGCCAGTGCATCCACCACCCCTTGCTCCCCAAATCCCACCCTGTCATGGTTTAAACTCAGTTAGACACACAGTCTCTCACTCCCCCCCTTCTTCCCCCCACCCCGTACCTGGAGGGACGGGGAGGAGAATCATAGAATCATAGAATAGTTAGGGTTGGAAAGGACCTTAAGATCATCTAGTTCCAACCCCCCTGCCATGAGCAGGGACACCTCCCACTAAACCATGCCACCCAAGGCTCTGTCCAACCTGGCCTTGAATACTGCCAGAGATGGAGCATTAATAACTTCCCTGGGCAACCCATTCCAGTGCCTCACCACCCTAACAGTAAAGAAATTCTTCTTTATATCCAATCTAAAATCAAAAGAATGTAACTCCCACGGGCTGAGATAAGAACAGTCCAGTAACTAAATTATAACACCAACCACTACTGCTACCACCAATAATGATAATGATAAGGGAACAAGGGAAGAGAATACAACCGCTCACCACCCACCGACCAATACCCAGCCCAACCAAGCAGTGATCTAACCCTTCCAGGTGACTGCCTCCAGTTTATAGACTGGGCATGACGTGCTGTGGTATAGAATACCTCTTTGGCTAGTTTGGGTCAGGTGTTTTGTCTCTGCTTCCTCCCGGCTTCCCCTCCTCCCTGCCAGAGTATGAGACTCAGGAAGTCCTTGGTTAGAGTAAACATTACTGAGCAGCAACTAAAAATATCAGTGTTATCAGCATTGTTCCCAGGCTGAAAGTCAAAACCACAGCACTGCAACAGCTACAATTCGTACTCCCTTGGCTGTGCTGCAGCATCTTGTGAAGCTGCAAAATAAACCCACTCACTGAGCTTGTGTGGGTTACTATCATCCTCCTGATGTTTTTTCCATGAGGCCGTTTCACTGACCTGCTTTGTCGATCAATTGCACAAACAGTTATGCTCATCTGTTCCATCTTCTAAGGTAACAACTTTTGGCATGGGGTAGGTCAGAGGACTTAGGTGAAGGGCTGCTTTGATCCAACTTTGCTGCCAGAGTAATTGTACTGTGTAACTAAACTGCAGGTGACCGAGTATGGTCTTGGCCATCTTGACAATATTCAGTGAGGTCCGGTATTAATTTGGATGAGGGTTGTTACATGGTCACCAATTTACTGATTCCAAATGTTAATTGTTTTTATTTGGATATCATTTAAAAATACTTCCTATACCAGCTTGCCCTTACTCCTGTTACCAGTCCTTGATATATGTTTCTGGCCTATCAGTTAGTGTGACCCTATTGACTATTTGACAGAGGGGAAGAGATGGAAATCTCCAGCAAAGATCAGTGGAAATACTTTAAGCAGTCCTGCAAATCTGGTTTTAAGAGTCCTCGCAAGGTCTGTATGTATCAGGAGGTGATGGAATACTTATTTTTCTCTTCAAGCAATGTGTAATATGCATGATTTTACTTAGCTACAGCAAAGCTTTGAATTATTCTGATTTCACCATGTGAGGAGTTGTCCCATACATATGCTTTGACAGTGATTTGGTCAGAGATGAAGGCCTTGTATGCACATCAAATCCCTAACTCTTTAAGTGATTACTGTTTGCTTAAAGAGTATCTGCAGCTACCCATGTGGTTGCGGTACTGTTGTAAGTATCCTTTAGTACTTAAGTACTCCACAGCAGTAGAGCAGAGTGTCTCAAACCAGTTCTTAAGGCTCCTGAGTTATCTAGAGCTCCTCAGTGATTTAGCTAGGTAAAGAAGTCCGTCTTTCATGGAACTGATTTTGGACTCAAATGCACTGTGTTATTTCTCCCATCTCTAAACCACCTTGTGATTCAGCTATGTAAATTGTGTTAAATTCTTGCTCTTCTTTAAGAGAAAAGTAAGGGGGAGTCAAGGAACGATTTGCCTCACCTGCCGAGCCAAAGTGAACAGGTCTTTTCTTTTTTGTCACTAGAAAAGTAAAGAATAGTCTTTTCCCAAATCACATTGAGAGGTTGGATTCTCACATCATGAATGTGTCTTGCAGCATCACCAGTCAAGTTTGGGGAGGAGGCTACAGAGTCCAGTTTGGAGCATTTTCTCAGTGGATGAGAAACAAAACCCACGTAGTACCTCTGCTATGTATTCAGCATTCCTGTTTTTCCCCTTTTTAGTCTGTTGCTCAAGTCCTACATGATGAAGATTGTTCTTCAATGATCATTCCAAGCAAGCCTTATGAGTGATTCTATTTCTTACACACGTCTTAGCAGATTGTAAGCGTTCACATGAAAGCACTACTCCAGTCTGAAAAGTGTTTTGTGTCAAGTTTACGAGGAGCTGACTGTTACCTGGCAGTGGCATCCATTCAGTTTTAAACAGCTTGAAAGTGTAAAGATTTATCATTATTTTTTCTAGAGTGCCATACATGGACACTCGGAGTGTGATTGGGTCAAGCTGAGCTCTTTCTTGCTCTTGAATCATCACTGATAAGAAATGCTTTACAGCACAAACTGTGCCTTCCAAACCATGTGGGCACCCAACCCAACCCAAGCTGTTGGCATGAAGGAAATGACACGAATGTAGGAAGGCTCATCTGGGCAGCTGTTGAAGTTCAAGTGGTACTTGAGCCCAGTTACAGTGCAGCTTGCTTTTCAGTGCTGCACATAGTGCTGGCTATGCAGGGAGGCAGAGGGATTAAGGGGACAGAAAACTGGTTTTGTCACTATGGTCAGCAGGTGTTTCTGAGTAGACAAACACAGGTCTCAGAGCTCTAGAGTATCTGTCACTGACCTAGAAGCTCATGCAAATAAGGACCTGCTGTTTATTTTTCCATGCTTTAAAATAGAGATTGTGTAAACCAGGCACATGCTGTCAAAAAGAGAAAATAATGGATTAAATGAAAAAAAAAATCTGTATGAAAAACGATGTACTGACCCAAAAGACAGAAAATAATTTGCAAAGAAGCTATTCTCTTATTTTAGATTACAGCAAGAGGTGAAGATTAGAGAGGGAGGAAAAGAGACATGTTACTTAGTTATTTCCTGAGAATAATGGGGGGGGGGGGGGAGATATTGCAGACTGAATATTGAGCCCAGGCATCAGTGCTTATTGGAACCTGATAAGGAAAGTGCATAAGTGTTAGATAAAGGTGAAGTACAGCTGTGTAGAAGGACTGACCTGCTCTTCCCTTTGGAATGAAAACAAGGACTGCGTGTTTGATTCTGAGACTGTGAAATAATTTAGGAATTCAAAAAAAGAAAGATCAGAATCTGTTGTAGCAAATGGCTGAGGGTACCCAGACAAGACTTGCTAGTAGATGGTTTCTGTGCCTGAGCACATGCAAAGTTCCAGTAGGGAAAACCAGCACTGTGGTATGCAGAAATGAGCAAGGAGCCAAAAGCTTTTGTCTGCCACAGAATGACTGTCAGTTTTTAAAACATTCTACTTGGTTTTCCTAGCAAAAATTAGTACCAAGGAAAGTTCAAGGAGGTTCAAAATGAAATCCTCATGCAGCAGGACTTAGGCCAACCAGTAATGGCCTCGGCTCTTCCTTCCTAAAACGGCCTTTCTACTACCGTGGACTGTCCTAGTAATTTGGAATCTCACCTCATCAGCATGCTCCTATTTTTATCACATGTCTAAAGGTCAAAAGGCAACGTCCTGGGCTCTGATGCCAGACAGCACCTCCCTCGCAGATGGATAGCAAGCATGTCCAATCCTGGGTAGCAGCCAGGATGAGAGAAAACCGCTGCAATAGCCTCCCTTTTCCAGCTGCTCTCCTTCCTCAGCCTGTCTGGAGCACAGGGACACTTTTTCTTATCTCTAGATCTGAGGCTACCACATTCTAGCACCTTACCAGCAGTGCTAACACCTTCACCTTAGGAAGTTTCCTTCTGGCCTCTACAATGACACTGTTTGTTCTTTGATAAGAAAATCCTTCATGTCTTCTTAGGAAAACATTAATATGGGCAAGCACTTTGCAGGATAGGAAAATAACTCCAAGAAGTCCTCCTTTTGCTTCACTGAGCTGTTTTCTGCTTCGCTGCTATTAGCAGTCTTGTCTTTTCTCAGCGGCATCAATAATGTCCTGGATACAAGATCAACTGGAGTAAGAATTTTGAAGACTATGCCATTTCTTGGTACTGGATTTTAATGTAAGATTCTAATGGGTATTTTTATGTTTTTCCAAATTTGCTTTGGAGTGTGTAGGGAATTGAAAAATAGATCACGTACGTGTTTGTTACCAAACCTACTTTTAAACTGCCGTAATGTTGTTATGGTTCTGTACATGAGTGTACATGGTGTTACTAGGACTCGTGTAAATCTGAAGCTAACTGTAGATAAAGGTAACTTACTGCTTTAAAAAATAGAGTCAGAAACTCCAAAATGACAGCTTTTTTTTTGAGAAATACATTCTGAATTTCAAACAAGCCATTCAGAGGGAAAACACATAATGCTGGGAAGCCTTTAAAGGGCTAGGACTTCAGACCAGTTTACGAAGGTTTAATTAAATAAACGGATGTTCTTTTTCTTGTCCTTCTGCCCATCTGGATTAGTTTGCCCAAAACATCAGGTTTTGATTGTGATCAGGCTGACCTATTTTTTATCTTTAGCCACTGGCTAAATAAACTGGGAACGTTAACAAGAGAAGTTCCTGAACACAGGCAAGAAAAGGGTTTCATTTCTTTTGAGTCTGCTCTAGTACAAAATTCTGATGTAACACCTCAAAATTCTGAGAAATTAAATATTCTGTGAAGTGTCTGAGAAGGATCTTTGTTGTATGGAATCATTGTTCACACTGATTTACTCACATTGCTTTAGAAGGCCCTCCTGAGTAAAAAGGCCTTTTGCAGTCATTTTTTTCCTTTCTGACTTGCTTTCTGGGAGTGAAATGAAAGTAAATATTTCCTTCCCACAGACTTGATAAAGACACTGTAGATATCTTTCATAGGGGTCCCACTGATGGCTCTTTACAGGTTCTTTTTGTGCATCACTATGCTCTGATCATTTTCTTCTCCGATGGGTAGAAAGAGTCACTGGCTTTCCTCCTAAAATTAATCCTTTTTTTCTAGGAAAGCTCCTCAAATGTTACTTTATTAATATTGTTTCTTTGCAAACAGGGATTTTAAATGGAGGACATAAAACACTACCTCCACACACACAGGTATTTCTCCAGTTTAACTTTCTGTGTTGCAGACTAGGCCGTGGCCTGGAAAAGGCAGTGAGTTGGTCAGCCAGTGTAAATGACCAAACCAGACCTGCACTGGTCCCATTCGGACACCCTGAGAACTTAGTGTGTGTAAACATTTCTGTCTGTGTTCTGTGAGATCATCATATAGAATCTGTCTGTTTCTAATAGCAGAGAGCCATGAGGAAATATTTCATAAGGAAGATTTTGAAATACATTTTTTTCAAACCAGTCTCCTACATGAGATGAAGTGACCCTCATTTGGAGTAAGAGGCATGCAAGAAATATTCTCACACTTGTTCTCCCTGTGTTTCTGTTTCTCGTCTTTCTAGTGGGCTGTTCATTGCAGTGATTGTGAGCCTGCTCTTCCTTGTGTTATTGAGGTTCATAGCTGGGGTTCTTTTCTGGATTTTCATCTTTGTCATGATTGGAATTATTGGTTATGGTAGATGCAACCCTCCAGCCCCTGAGGCTGTTTTTCCTTATTGCTTAATTTTGGGCAAGGAAAGTAAGTGATTGCATCAATTAAATGTTATAGTTGGGAGAATTAGTGCCTAGGTTTAGACAGAGTTAAGTGAGAAGGGCTTAAATGGCAGCAAAATTTAGTAAGAATCCAGCTGTGCTGATACTTAGCACCAGATGTGGTAACCCGAACTATCTACCCCCAGTGTGCTTAGTCTGCATTCACTTGTACTGATCTTTCTTTTCTATAGATGTGATGTTATAGCTGACTAGTCTTGCAGTAATGCGTGCTTGGGTTTTGCTTACCTAATCTGCTGAGGACAAAACACTTCACTTGCCAAAGGTTTAAATAACCCCAACCTTGTCTTTGCACTCTTCAGAAACGCTCATTTTATATTGATAGCTTTTTAACAGGCAGCTGGCATTGTTACTGGGAGTATGACCATCTTAAAGGAATACCTGGATCTGACCTTACTGTTTCTGATACTGGATTCCAGACAGACTTCAGAGTGTACCTGCAGCTGAGGCAAACATGGTTAGCGTTTAGTAAGTGCCCTTTAAACTTGGTATCTGTTAATGGATGTTCAGGAGATTCAGTCACTGTCTTGCTACAGTTTCTGCCTTGTTAAATCTCCTCCTCTACATATGTTGCTTATTTGTATAGCACAAAAATATACTTTTTCTGCAAGGCTACTAGTATATTTGTAAGGGGACATAATGCAGTCATACTAGCGATGAGAGTGAAAAACTCTTGTGCTTCTAGCATTCTACTTCCTGTGTGTTCAGTCTTCACAATGGGGAAGCAGAAGGCAATAACTAAGTCCTGATGAAGATAAGGAGGAGCATTTTTCTCTCAGTCTGTTTATGTTCCCTCCTCGAGGGCCCCAGAAATGAGTAATAACTCTATGCATCTTTTGTAGACCTGTTTACATTCAGGTCACTGAATATTCTTGGATGCTGACCTGAGGCTATGGAATGAACCATCACAAATGCCATCACTTCTGGTTTTCAGAAATGCTTCACTGCTTTCTCTTACAAGGGCAATGTATTTAAAGCAATCCTACTGGAACAAGACAGCCTGCAGCGTACACGTCCCTCCCAAGGGAAGGAGGGGCTCAAGAGAGAACAAATATCTGTCAAATACTACTTGCACTGCTGTTACTGCTCTATTAGCAGGCACACAGACACTAACTGATGACGAATGGCACATAAGCTGAAACACTGACTCTCCCTATTGGTAGCTGAATTAATAGAGCAGCAGTTTACTGCTTAAATCTCCTTTCTCTGCTTTGTGTCTTCATGTAATCATGTTGGATCATTGAGCTCATGAGCATCTTCTACATGTTGTTGAGACAGAGCTTTTTAGCATGCTGGCCATAGAAAATATTAGGATTTTATTACGTCTTTCCTTGTAACTCCCCTGCCTGATTCTTAGCAGCCATTGTATAATTTATCCAGAGGTCAGTGTCACTTTCAGATAAGTAAATTGAGGTACTCAGGAATTAAATTACTTTTCCAAAATCACCCAGTGAATCAGTTAAATATCCTTGAAGAAAACGTAGGTCCTCTTAGTCCTAGTCTAGAACTCATCACGGACTGACATTGCTTTCCTTTTTCACAATGCTTGGGGCAAGCTACATTAACTGAACAAAGCTGAACTGGATTGAGACCAACTTCAAAGGAACCTGCCTATGTATTAGTTCATGGAGAGCCATATCAAAAATAGGTGCTGAAATGTGTGTAGCAAAAACTGTGTTCTGAAGAAAGTCTGTGCTTCTGAGCACCACAGGGGTCACTTGCCACATGAAGTTCTGATGGCTAGGGGTACTGATAGTACTTGGGATCGCAATGGCATGTCATCTCTGACTATCTGGATTCTGAGACTGATGCTAATCTTCCTAAGGAATTGGATCCAGATCGCCATTGCACTCTTGAAGGAAGGCAGTAGGTATGTTTGCCTGAGTTTTGGGAATATATTTTGAATTTTATTAAACAATCTCTGGAGTATACTCTTCTTGAGCTTCGTCTTGCACTACCAAGGGCAGGAAGTTGGGTTGAAGGTCAACACTGGATTTGTCAAGCCATACAGATAGTATAAAGAATGCCAATTCTCTGTCATTGAGATTGTGCTTATAAGAGCTTTCTCTTTTGCAGTAAGGCATTTCTTACCTCCCAGCAGCTCCCTGCCTTAAGAGTACATACAATGTTAGCAGCACCATGCATCCTTGGTGCAAGGAGGTGTGTGCCACATGTGGGACACTGTTAATAGGAGCCTAAGACCTACAGCTGCCAGCTTTGCTCTGTCACTGGATTGTCTCCAGAGAGACACATACTAGTGGTAGAGAATTGGCATTGTTTTGGCTGGGGCTTTTAATTTAGGAAAGACCGGATCCTTATGGCTCCAATCAACCTTTTGTCTGGACATGCATAAATCTGCAGGGAGAATTCCATGACCAGACATTGTAATATGGTGTAGTCCAAGGCTCTTCTTTTCATCTCTGGGTAGAGAGGAAAGAAGAGCAGGATGTGAGAGTTGGGAGGCCTTTTAATTTTTTTTCTGAAATCTGGATAGACTTTATTCACAGTGGTTCCTGGTTTATCCAGTGCCAACTCTTAGTTCTGGTTTGAGTTTGGTTTGGGTTTGTTTTAATGGGAATATAACAAAGGAGAAATGGACTTAACACACCCTTGGATTTCATTGCAAATAAGCTAAGGTCTCATAGGCCTCGGAAGTAGGGCTCTGTTACATCACATGGAGTTAGCTCTGAATTTATCTGTGTGCACTTGCTTGTAGTTTTCTGCCCTCTCTTGTTGACGTTATGGTTCTCAGGATTTAGGATTTTTGTAATGGGATTAGGAAATACTGAAGTTCCGCATTCAGCCAGGTACCTGTTTCCTGTCTTATGCTACTGTGCAGTTAAAGCATAGCAATTAATTTTGGCAGCATTGAATTACTCTCTTTAGTTCCTGTTCATTAAAATCCAGGAACACTTCTAATGCTCTGCAACACTTTTGTTCACAACCTTGAAAGAAGGATTTCAGAAAGTTCATAAAGTTCCTGCTGGGAAGTGATAGCATTCTGTAGTTTTTCAGTAGCCTGGAAAGATCACTTGAGGGTGATGTTTTTACTCTCATGCATAATGCATGAGGTGAAGCTCTGTGTGCAATTACTGTAAACCTAACAGACCATGCCCTGTATTTGGGAAGATGCAAAACAAGCTGCTAACGACTGGAAATCAAATTTCATTTTTCAATACCTTTTAACTACTCTTTCAAAAAACTCACAATTGTCTTGAAATCCATAGGTACTAACAGTTAACAGTTGTTACTCCGTCCATCGTGTCAGTGGTAACCAAGAGGCCTACCATGAGCTGCTGAACACTGCTAATACGTAGTGACTGTTTCTCCTGTGTGCCTCTTACTGCACTTCTACATCTCTAGAGTCAGACAGAAATCGATGTGTTGCTCTTCACCTCCTGACTGCACACGACAGTTCCCTTGTGCTCTCCCTAGCATTTAATAGTTTAGCAGCAGGAATTGGGTAACTTTGCTTTTACATTTTGGAAAATGCCTCCTGTCAAACACACAGCTGTGTATCCTTCTGTCCATGTAACTCTATGAAGGAGCAGTCTTCTGGTCTACAAAACCAGATAATCCTCTGCTGTTTCACCTTAGCCAAACCAGTGTTATGATTCGGAGAAAACTCCAGGAACAAACTTGCCAACAAAGTTTTCAAGCTGACAAGCAAGGATTCTTTCTTGCGGTGCAGGGAGACACGGGGGATAGCTCCTCCTAACGTGTGTCCCTGTATTGCTATACAAGCTGTACTTTTATAGTCCCTGGGCATACATACATATTCATGAGGCTACATATGGATTACATCATTTTCCAGAAAGTTCCCCGCATGTGTACAGAATTGTGCTGGTGGTCTCTGAGGGTCATTTACTTCTTCCAACAATCTTCATCACTTCTGGCAGCCTTTGAAGCACGCACACTAGATTCTTATACCAGCTTAATTGGTTCGTAAGCACGAGAGACATAATAATCCTCCTGTCCTCCTACTTATCAGTTGGTTTAACTGTAGCCCATCCTGGACACCTGCGGTTCCCAGATACTCCTTATCCCTGTGTCCTGTTCTTCTAGACTGTTTTCTTAAAACTATGTCAACTATAATGATTTATCTTGTGAGAATTCTCAGTATGTTCTCTAGCTGTACTCTACTTCTTTTCTGTGTATCATGCACCTCAGTAATTTTCCATTGCTACTGTTACAAAGCCATCAAACTTAACATAACTTAAAACTGATTCTAAAGGTTTATATATTCCATTTTGTAATTTTGTGCTCCCCCTTGTCTCAACCCCCCTCTTTTTCCGTGTTGCAAATTCTTTTGCAACACTTTATATACTACCATTGCCATCTAAAGTCTTTTTGAAATAATTTCCCATTTCTAATTGATGCCTGATTTCATTTCTCTTCCAATCTTCATAATTTATCATAGACCATTTACAACACCAGAGGGAACACTGTATCATACCACAAGTAATCAATATTAAAACAATTAACATCAATACTCCTGCAACCAGTTGCCTCAACCAGGAGAGATTAAGTAACCATGAAGTTAACGTTTTCCATATTTCTTCAAAACCCCAGGAGGTGTCATCCATGGCCATTTCATGAAATATCTTAGTTTGTTTCCGCATTTCCTCCAGATCTGTTTCAATTCTGTCACTTTAGTCTGTATAGGAACAAAAATTTTCATTGATAATGGAACAAACCCCTCTTTGTGATGCCAGTAACATGTCTAGAGCCATTCAGTTTTGTAATATCACCTTAGATAAGCTAGTTATCTCTTGTTGTTCTGCCTGGATTATATCAATAGTTTTACTTTCCATTTCCTCTATGGTTGCTGAGATATTTACAATTTCCTTCTCTAATTCACTTACTCTCAAAGATGGAATTAGCCCCCTTACAAAACTATGAAATGCAGTGTGCCGTTTAATAATAGGGTTAAACCCTCGCTTAATTCATTTACCAAAACTCCTAATCCAGGTCCCAGAAGAATACCTGTCGATAATAGTAAAATTGGGTATTACAGCACCTAAGGTGCATGGCCCCTTCCAGTTGGGGGTAGAATCTTATAAGGATTTTTTCCACATAACCAATACCATCCTTTCCCTTTAGGAACAGGCCACCATTGAACTACGATACCATCTATATTAATAGTATTATTGCAATTTGAATGGTAACCTACATCTGTGACATTTAAACAAGCATGATCTCCTACCCTGGTTCCTAGTGTAATACATCTTTGTGCACATGTGCAATATTTATTTCCTGGGTTAGGATTAACTATTCCAAATTTTAACCTTTCCTTTGAACACAGATTGCTAGTGTTCCCCCACAGATTTGTCCATGAGACAGTGTTAGGAATTGGAACTCCAGTTAATGGGAGATTCAGGCTTTCTCCTGATTTAGGCAACTGTGCACACACCCAACAGTCACTACGATTAAAACCTTAGCAACATTCTGCACTTATTTCAGGTATAAATTCTGGTCCCAAGCTTGTGTGCCAGTTATCATGAGTCCAAATTATGACCGATGCCGTTTCTTACACAAGGGTCCTGAAGGTTTGATCCGCAATGTCTTCTCTGGCTCTGGTGCTTTCTTTATTCTTGAATAATGTATCCAAGCAGGTTGTTCCTTTATCTTCACTGCTGTAAAGGTGGTCAGTAATATCTAGTACGGTCCTCTCCACTTCTCCTGTAGAGGACCTCCTGAAAAATTCTTAACATAAACCCAGTCTCCAGATCTGAAAGGGTGAATTGGATAATCCAAACCTCTTGCTGTTGTCCCTACTATTATCTTCTTTATCTCCTCCAACTGTTTTCCCAGATTGATCAGAAACTGTCAGAGGTAGCCTTCTCTCACTTCCTGAAGACTTCCTCCTTTAAACTGGGACTGATATGGTTTTCCATATAAAATTTCAAATGGGCTAACCTCTTCTTTCGATTGAGGTTTAGTTTGAATTCTTAATAGAGCCAGTGGTACACCTTGGTACCAATATTAATTCATTTCCTGACATATTTTACCAGTCTGTTGTTTGATCAGATGAACCATCTTTTCTACTTGCCCACTGGCCTGAGGCCTGTATGGAACATGTAGTTGCCGATCAATTTTGCTAATTTCTTGTAACAATTTTGCAGTAAACTGTGAACCTCGGTTGTAAGAAATAGCCACTGGTACTCCAAAATGAGGTATTATCTCATTAAATAATGTTTTAATTATTTTTTTTGCATTATTTATCCTACAAGGGAATGCTTCTGGCTAGCCTGAAAAAGTATCCATTAACACCAATAAATATCAATAACCCCCTTTTCTTGGTAATTCAGAAAAATCTATTTGCCACTGCTGTTCCAGATAACTTCTTCTACCAATTGTCCCAATTTGATTTCTATTTTCAGTCTTAGGATTATTCTTAAGACATAGCTGACATTGTTTTGTAGCTAATTGAACTGTGGTTTATAGATTCCTTCCTGCAATTTGTTTGTTTAAGTACTCATATGAAGAGTTGCTACCCCAATGAGTTTTATTACGTTCCTCCTGAACTAACTTTCAGACTTGGTTATATGGGATTACAATTCACCCATCAGGTATCTGAACCTGGCCCTCTTTATTTTCTTATTTTTTAGTTTGTAATTTTGTGCTCCCCCTTGTTGCAGTTAAAAGGGCTATTTGGTCACTTGGCACTTGATGCACCTGTGCACTCTTCATCACTGGTCATTTGCGTGTGATGTACCAACTGGACAGTGAATTTAATTTCATTAAAAAGAACTGTACTAAAATCCATGCCAAGGCAGAAGATCATACAGGGTCTTTTATACTACATAAGGTTGGCCTCAAGGTGTGAAAAAGGAACCTCAGCAAAGAGGAATATGCCCTTTCTTGGCTGTATGCTCTATAGACCTAATGTTAATGGTCACTTAGTTAGCTTGGGTGGGCTCCACATGTCTTTTGTTTAGAAAAATGTAGGAAAGGAGTGAGAGAACATAGAGTGCCTGGAATCCTCTAAATTGCCTGAGAGCTGCCATTGTCTGTTCCTGGAAAGGAAAGGCTTTGGTAAGGTGTCAGAAAGGGGAGAGTTGCTTTTTGAAAACAAATTGTTCTTTCTCATGCAAAGAGGGTCAGTTATTGTTGTACAGGACAGTGTTGATTTATCCTTATGCTCTGTGTCTACTTCCACCAAAATCCAAACTCTCAAAGAACTATTACTGCATAATGTGCCTTGTCAGAGGTGGATGTGCAGGAGAGAATGAATCAACTTTCAAGGTTATTCCCCTTGCCCATTCTGGCCATGGCATACAGCTCTGGGATGAAGTTTGACTTAGTGTCGTGGTTTAACCCCACCCAGACAGCTTGTGCACTCACTCCTCCCCCTTCTTGCCCTCCCCCTACTCCTGGGGGAACGGAGAGGAGAATCAGAAAGAATGCAACTCCTACGGGTTGAGATAAGAACAGTTTAGTAACTAAGGTATAACACAAATCACCACCGCCACCACCAACAATAGCAATGACAAAGGAAATAACAAGGGAAGAGAATACAACACCTCATCACCAGCCGACCGATAACTCGCTCCCCCCAGCCCGACCAAGCACCAGACTGCTTACTTCATCCTCAAGACCCGTGCCCACAATCATCAGAGAGCATTGCACAGACGCCAAGAGGAGGAAACTTATGATAATAAGTTCCTGGAGCTAGTTACAATATTCCCCACCTATACGCAGGAATTATGAATATGTATGTGACTAATGCAATAGTGAAAGTATATAAACCTGTAACAAATACTAATCAGTTGCGCCACTGGCTATGGTCATGCGCCCAGAGCTGTTGCTTTTGCTTTATTGACTTTGTCCCTCAATAAAACATTGTTATCTTGTTTAGAGGAGTGAGTTTGTATTTCACAAATGGGGGCTTGTCCAGGATAAAACCTGCTTTGCTTCTGTGGGCCTAGGGGAATTTGAGTGAAAGGCGCGCCCTGCCAATTTCAGCAGTTTGCTCGGTTTCTTCTGGTCTCATCGGCACTTGCAGGTTATATCGTGGGCAAAGAAGGGGACTCATAAAGTAAAAGAAGGGAAGGGCTCCCAGGAAAACTGTGGTTGCCTGTAATTCATGTGCACGAAGACCAGGACAAGAAAACAGACTGTAAGTATTGTTTGGTTAGGGGGGAATACGGTTGTGATCAGTGTGTGAATGAGACACAGACCCGGTAACTTTGAATTTTGCTGTGCCCCATTTCTCAAATACAGAATAAAAATAACATTTTAATACAGAACACATGGCTCTTTCTATAAGACTTAATTTCTTCAAGTGAGTGTTTTTTGCCTGTTAGTCTTGTGCAAACTTCTTAGATCACCAGAATTCATTCTTTCCATAAAAATTTTAAAGATAAGGCTCCCTCTTCCCTACCCTCATACCTTCATTATGTTCTGTCCTGGGTTCAGCTATAACAGTTATTTTTCTCCTTCTTAGTAGCTGGTGCAATGCTGTGTTTTCGACTTCAGTCTGAGAACAGTGCTGATAACACACCAATGTTTTTAGTTGTTGCTAAGTAATGTTTACTCCAATCAAGGACTTTCTCAGCCTCATGCTCTGACAGGGAGGAGGGGAAGTTGGGAGGAAGCAGAGACAGGACACCTGATCCAAATTAACCAAAGTGATACTCTACACCACAGCAGGTCATGCCCAGTATAGAAACTGGGGGAGTTACCCAGAAGGCTCAGATCGCTGCTTGGGTCAGGCTAGGTATCAGTTGGTGGGTGATGAGCAATTATATTGGGCGTCACTTGTGTTTATTGTTTTCTTCCCTTTCCCCTTTTAGTTTTATATTCTCACCCCTTGTTATTTCCTTTATCATTATTGTTATTGGTGGTAGGAGTAGTGGTTTTGTATTACACCTTAGTTACTGGACTGTTCTCATCTCAACCTGTGGGATTTACATTCTTTTGATTCTCCTCCCCATCCCTCCAGGAATGGGGGGAGGAGGGGAGGAGTAAGCAAGCGGCTGCGTGGTTCTGAGTTACTGGCTGGGTTTAAACCATGACAGTTACTAGGTGTGCCTTCTGGTTTAGGATGGCAGCCTTTCTTACAGAAATGGAAAGCTGAGGGGGGGATATAATGAGTTATTTTAGGAGTATCTGAGTGTATTAACATTGCGAGGCTAGCTAGAAAGATTTCATTTGGGGCAGAAGGATGCATCAAGCATCCATCAGGGCTTTGGAAGATACTCTGCACTACATTACACATGGAGGGATTTCATTATGGACCATCAAAGAAATTGTTGCTATGGAAGACAGAAGAGATGATCTTCCCAGTGGAATTAATAGTGCCTTCACTATCCGAGCTGGACTCTGAATCACTGCTGCCCGAGTAGGTGCCCAGGCTAGGCAGGATCCCAATGCACACGGCTGCTGAGGAACAGTGGACTGTGGAGCCTCCCACCGAGCTGCTCCCCAAGGGAACACAGGATGTTTTTTCTGAAAGAGAGATACCACGGTCAAAAAAGAGTACACGGGGAAAAGGCTTTTAATCAGCCTTGTGTCAGTTACCTGCTATTGCCACAGCAGTGAATGACTGCAGGATTTAATTAAAGCATAAGGCAGCTTTGTGTTGCAATGAAGCTATTCTGACAGGAAGGACTTGCTACCTCAGGGTATTTTTTTTCCTTTTCTCATCACTAGTTTCAGTCCAGCTCTATGCTGGCATTACAGATTTTCATTCTAAAGTTGTCAGTTTGATGCTTGTCAAGTACCAAAGCCACTAAATAAGAATAAATAGCTCTGCTTTGTGTAATTGAGTATTTTTTTGCAATTTAACAGCATAGTTGGGGAAAAGCTTTATTCTGCCAGTCAACGTCTCCCATCTTCCACAGCTGATTATTTCTAGTTTTCTGAAAGTTTACTGAACGGAAGGAGATTCAGGAAGGTCCTTGGGCTGCTATTATACAATTGCAGCTCATCCTATTTGTGTCAGAGTATCCTGACAGCAAGTCAACTGCAGCCCTGACAGCTAAGACTGAAACGCAACTTAATTTTGCTTCTACTTCCCCATAATTTTCTGAAACAAATTCGTTTCAGGATGGAAAAGTTCACTTCATCGCATGAAAAGCTAAAAGTGGATAAATGCAAATACATCAAATGCTGCTGTGAAGAGGAAGGGTTGATATGCTCTCCATGTCTCCTCTTGGCAAAACAAGCATTAGGCTCAAAATGCAGCCAAGGAGACTCTTATTAGTTATCAGGTAGAACTCCTTAAGGGTAAAATCAGTGATGCATTAGAATAAACTGCCTAAGGAGGGTGCACAATCTCTATCTGTGGAGATTTAAGAGCAGCTTAGACAAATGCCCATCAGGAATAATTTAGGCAGGGGACAGACTGATGACCTGTAGAGGTTCCCTCCAGCCCTATTTTCTATGAAGACTGCTGTCAGCACCTATAGTTACCATTTCTGCTGCTTTGAGAACATGCCAACTGTGATCTGTGCGTAATGAAGGACCAGACAAGCAAATCCTCTATCACATTTAACACTAAGTCAGTTGCTGTTCAGACGAGAGACAGCCAGCTTGCCACATGCAGAAATCAGGACATACCTTGATTCTTTTCATCATGATCAGTATCTAGTTTCAACCTCTTCACACTGTTACCACCATCTGAACTGTGGACAAAATAAGAAAGTGTCTTGTTTCTTATAAGGTAACCATTTAATTACTGTGAAGTTAAAGTCACATCTTTGCATCAAATGCTATAGCAAATGCCAGTGGGATCCCCTGATGACCATCACTACTTCTAACTGCTCTTAAGTGGAGCTCCTTGGGGAACATGCAGGATCCTAGACAGAGCCAACACCTACACTGCAAGTAGGTTAACCTGGGAAACATTTGGACTCTGGGAGTCCAAGTTAGACCTCTTGCACAGCAGCCCAGAGCTGCCTATTCAGCTGGAAGTACTTCAAAGGAGATCAAGAATGATGACCTGAGCTTTAGCCACCCCAGATGCCCACAGGCTTGCTCATGTGGATGATTACCATAATTGCTGGTGCAACACCCATGTCTCTTCCCTTTTATGGTTTCAGTTTCTTTTTACGCCCCTCTTGTATGTTCCTAATCTTAAGCCATCCACATAAACAAATGCTTCCCAGCTTCAACTGTGATGAACTAAAGTGATGAAGTATGAGCATCCTTATGCATTAACTCTTTCCTGTCCCTGTCAGAGCATATGGTAAAGATAAAAGGTTTTAATAATAATACATCCTTTACAGGAAACTACAAAGCTCAGAGAGCAGATGTTGATCTCATGTTACACTTGGTTTGGGACAGTTTGCAATAAAAGATAAGACAGCAAAAATAGAAGACTGCAAAGCAAGTCTGTGATGGCACTGACATGTCAGTTAAGCTGCTCTCTTCAAATTGATGCCATCTGCAGACTTCAGATGTGCCATTAAGCACATGCCAGCTCCTTCTCTACATTCTACTGTGTTAAGTACTAGTAGTTATAAGAACACACCCCCCACCCCCGAAAAAACCAACAACAAAAAACAAACACACCCCAAAAAATTTTTGGCTGCTTGTTATCAGTTCAAGGCTTTTCTTCTCTGCCTTCCAAAAACCCAAACAACTACCCAACCCTACACACATTAGATGGTAGAAGTACTTACTTCAGTTTTCAGACATGCAATTACTGCTGTACTGGTAGCTAAGCATCACCCTACAAGATAAGCTTCTAAAATAATCTCTCATTCTCTGGGACAAAAACACTGACTGAATTTTGAGATGTCAGTAATCAACTTAAGTATTAGATGACTCATCTGTGGGAAATAACCCTGGTCTCACATTGCCTAGTTTCTCCAGAACCTGTAGCACACCAGCAGCTGTGTTTGCAGGCCATGATCAAAACAGCAAACAGGTCACAAACCCAGCTACCATCTCCCTGGGATGGAAAGAGTGCAAATCAGTGAGGAACAAGGGAAGTTTGCCTGATACCCTCAGGATCAAATTGGTACACCGAGCTCCTCTCTTGTAACCTGTCTCCCCCATGCTGCCCCCAGCAGCAATTAAAACACAGATAAAAATCAGTTGATACACTATGCAAACCTGAATGAAATCACACAGGTGAGGTGACACTGATATCTATAAATAGAGACGTAAAATAGATTCCCCCTAGATCCCCAAGTGAGATTGGTCAAGCCTGGCAGTCTAGAATAAACAGTCAACCCACTTGCTTTTACACACACTTTTGAATTGTGTCATGTTTTTTCCTAGTTTGTGAGAGCCTATGGAAACAAGGCTGGTCTTTTCTTCTACCTCCCCCCTTTTTTCTTTAGGACTAAAGTTCACACCTCACTCTTTGAAGGCAGTTTTGGCCTGCCTTCATTTACATTACTAACTGGGTTCCGTTCCTCATGAATTTATAAAGGTGCGAAACTAACCTGTGTTTCACAGCTCCTGCTAACAGCTTTGACTGAGAGAATGTGTTCTTGTTTTCCACTGACTTGATGGGCAATTTCTTCTCAGTTTCCTTCTTTGTGTCCACACTGACTCCCACTTCACTGAGAGTGCTGTGAACTAAGGGTTAAGGATCAACCAGGAAGAAATGGAGAGAACAGATACTTCCTCTCCTGATATATTTAGCCAGCTCTGCTGACAGCAGCAACTGAAGTTCATTCACATATTCTATCAAAATAGCTTTATTTGTAATGACATTTAGCTGATATCTTTGGCCAAGACAGCAGAGACTTCACCCTCTGGGTCTGGAGTTCTCTCAGTATTAATATCAGCTCTCCCTGTAAAGACATCCAGGCAGCAGATCAGGAGATGCTTTTCTGAAGGCAGAAAGGTGCAACACACGACACATCCAGCACCCATAAACATACCCAGCATCCTGCCTTTTCCTAAAAGTCTTAGAAAATCAAAAAGGTCAGACTGGATTAACAGGGGTAAGAAAAAAAAAAAAAAAGCACAATACAATATTCCCCTCTCTATGGGGATCAACACATTTGTAATTCAAATTTGCTGCTTCAACCCCTAAATCCTTATATGTAGCAATATGTGGGCTCACTTCCACTCCTCCAAACCTCCTTTTGCTAAGTCCAGCAGACATCAGCCTGCCACAGCAAAACAGTTCAACTTTCTGGTTTTGTACTTATTTAACTTTTTATCTCATCTCTCTGTAAGGGCCACAAGTCTACTACTGCCAGTTTGAACACCAAACCCAAGAGGAAGGAGACACATCTGACTAAAGGGCACATGTGGTTCAAGATTCACCCCAAAAGATTGTGACAGCATAGAAAAACTAAGTAGCTTAAAACAGTGTTAGAATCATGGGATGCAGCTGAAACCTATCATGAGGAAGAGAAGCTTAATCAGGTTCTTAGGATAAGGAGGAGCTTGGTCTGTTATTAAGGCACACACTAAACAGGTCTCCTTGCATGCAGGACCTACTCCCATCCTGATAACTGCTCATGTTCAAGCTATCCCTGATGAAGCAAGTTCTGTCAAAGATCCTGTTTGTTGATGAGGTGCCAGTGGAGTCATAAAAACTTCTGCAAAACTTTTAAACTCCACATAGCAAAGGCAAGTCAACCTGATTTAAAAGGGTATTTGTTTATAAACCTAAATCTAACCTGATTGCAATTCCACTGATCATATGACATCACCACAAGCTGGAGTTTCACAGGTGCCCCAGTTACTGCAGACAAATTGGACAGTGAATTTCACATCAATAGACCATATACATTAAGTCATAGTTTTTTCCTCACTGGACATCTGCAAATCAAAAAACCCTTACACCTTCCTTTGAAGTGAAACACTCAAAGTCTCCAATCACTTTACAATTAGGAGCATTCAGATGCCATTCCAATAATGGATTTTCCTAAGGATACAGTAGTAACCCAGACTGCTCCCTATCTCAACTGAAAGCCATGTCAGCCAAAGCCCCTGCTAAGTTTTATTTCAGATGTCAGAGGAGTGCCATCCTGTGGCTATCAGAAGCAATCTGAAAGCTCATTGTGTCAAACATGGTTTGATGTTGCAACACACGATTCCACACACCAGTGTTCAACTTCTGTGTGTCCATTCGTTACCTTTTTGCATTCGAACACGGTGCTACAAAAGCCAGGCTGAGGAACCCAAAGACTTTTAAACAATATCAAATTACAGGGTTTTCACTTCCATCCAGGATGCCATTCTCCTGACACACCTCAACTCCCAGAGACACAGCACATTTTTAATAGATATTTTCTATGTACTGCTACCATTAGCAAATGTAACACTATCTAGACAAGAAGCATCCCCTCTCAGGAAGACTACATTAGAAATAAACCTCTTGATATTAAATATCAGCAGCATTTAAAAAGCTGTCTTACAGAAAAGCCTGCTTCTTGGGAGTGGGACTTTTCCTACATTTACATAGGATTTCAGACAAGAGGGTGCTGTTCTCAAACACTTCCTGGGACTGGCTTTAAAAAAATAAAAAATCCTTCAAGTTTAAATCTTTAATCCTTGGGTGACATGGTCTAGTGGGAGACATCCATGGCAGAGGGGTTGGAACTCAATGATCTCAAGGTCCTTTCCAACCCTAAATATTCTATAATTCTATGAAACACTGTCAGACCAGTGGGGTCTGGATAGGGCAAGAAGCAAACCCCCCTAGTTGTTCATGTAGGAGGAAATAAAATTCCTATGCATCCATGCATATGAATTTCTTGTGCTTGAGAGCGCATTAAAATTTTCCAAGGCATACTTATCCTTTAAGGAACATGATTTCATGTATAGGTTTTTACCTTGAAATTAATGCCTCTGGGTAGCTTAAATTGGGTGTTATACCAAGAAAAAGACCAAATAATCAAACCCAAGAGGTTGACATTCCTCTTATTAGTTTGGAAAAGCACTTGAACAGTGCCTATAGACCCAGCACATTTACCTAGCATCCACTGTTTTTTGTCACTGTACTGATAAACCATTAGTAACAACCTGCAGATGCAAAAACACCTTTTCTATTTCAAAAGCATACCACCAAAACTTTCAAAACACAGGTGAGTCATTTTGCAAATTTTCCTGAGTTTACTTGAAATATTATGGTTAAATAATAATAATAATAATAATATTTTAAAAAGGGAAAGGAATGAGCAAAACTTCTCAGTTCCTCATGAGATGAAGCAACTATAAAACATTCTCCCTGCACCCACTCCATCAGTAATAACTTCTGCAGTTTAATTTACAGCAAGACTTCAGATACAAAGCCAGACAATATTTTGAAGACTGCAAAGACTGAGGTTAGATGGCCTGTACATCTTGAACAGGCCCTGCTCACTAAATTCAGGGATCCATGTGTTATGTGGCTTATTCAAGACAACATAAGATTCCCTCTGGGCTGGTACGTTTCACCCCAGATGTATGTGACCTAACTTAGAGCTGTCAGCTGCTTCCACAGCACAATCTTATATGGCACATCCCTGAATTGGCCAGACCCACAAGCAACAATCACCAAAACTAAATATTGAGACAAGGAGGCACAAAATCACAAAATGAAATATAAACCTTTGTAAATAAGTAGAATCAGTTTTAAGTAATGTTAAGTTTGATGGCTTTGTAACAGTAGCAATGGAAAATAACTGAGGTACATGTTTCACAGAAAAAAAAATAGTAGAGTGCAGCTAGAGAACATAATAAGAATTCTTGTATAGGATAAACTGTTGTAGTTGGCATAGTTTTAGGCCCTTATTACCTTAGTACAACAATAAGTGTAAGAAAAACAGGATAGAAAAACAGAACGTGGGGATGGGGAGTATCTGGGACTAGCAGGTGTCCAGGATGGGCTGCAGCTAAACTAACTGATAAGAAGAACAGGATGATTGCTATGTCTGCAGTGTTACTGAACCAATTAAGCTGGTATAAACATTATCTACTGCGTGTGCTTCAAAGGCTGTCAGAAGTGATGAAGATTGTTGGAAGAAGTAAACGACCCTCAGAGACCACCACCACATTCTGTACACATGCGGGGAAACTTTCTGGAAAACTACGTAATTCATTCACAGCCTCATGAATATGCATGTAATTAATGAATATGTATGCCAAGTGATTATATAAGGACGGCTTGTGTAGCAATACGGAGACATATGCTAAGCGGAGCTATCCTCCATGTCTCCCGGCGCCGCAATAAAGAATACCTGCTTGTCAACTTAAACTTCGTTGGCGAGTTCATGGAGATTTCTCTGATTTATCCTATGAGCATCCCATTATGAGATCCAAGAAATCAAGAAAAAATTCCAAATCATTCAACCAACTGTAACATATTTCTGAAGTGAAAAAAATGCATGAGCATTGACAGGGCTTTGAGCAACCTGGTCTAGTGGTAGGTGTCCCTGCCTGTGGCAGCAGGTTGGAACTGGATCATCTTTAATCTCCCTTCCAACCCAAACCATTCTAGGATTATTGCTTTTTCATAAACACATTGCTGAGATAACTTAGATGCTCTTCTCAGAACACATGTTCTAAATTGTAAAACATTAACTAATACAAAGTAATGCAGACCTTTGTAGCATTGGCACTGTTCAGCTTTACTTGCTGACTGGTTTTAGTCACCTTGTGCCAACAAACTCATTTATGTTAAAGCATCCTGGAGAACTTGTGCTTTGCTCACTGATGACTTAAAATGGTTTTTATCAGCAGGCAAGAGACCATCAGGTTCTGCATAGATTCAGTAAACCTCAAAAAAACAATGCTTAGCTTAGCACAGCACAGAAATCCTCAAATCATTCCAACCTACCTTGACTGACATGATCTAAGAGAAAAAACATCCTATATTATTTTCTAGCACATCTTGAAAATTTGGCATTTAACAGCAAAGCCAAACTATCCTGCTCCTAATACTACCTAAAAGTCTGTATTACCCAAAGGAGCCGAGTCTCCATGGGCACTGACTTCCCAGAAGAAAGTCAGCACATCTACACAGATGTATGTAATTTCTCATCCTGCAGTTATCAGCAAGAGAGAAAGTAGATAAGACTTCAAAACAATAACAGAGACATTCAAACGTTATTTCAAACAGGCATGTTAAAACCAGCCAATATGCAGTAAAAAAACAAAGAACATTTACTTTTCAATAAGAAGCAAAAGATAAGAAGCAATATGCTGATTTTCCTCTATGTTCTTTTACTCTTTTTAGCTATGGTATTTCATGCCCTTAATAACAGGGAAAACTAAACCAAAATCCCAAACAAGTGGAGGGGGAAAGAAAAGTACCAAAGATGTGTAGGTTGAGGGGGAGGGAGGAACATCAAACATTACAGTGGGAGATCCAAGTTACAATGAAAACATTAAATGTTAAAAAGTATATACATGTTCTGTAACACAGTGTCGTGGTTTTAACCCAACCAGACAGCTTGTTACCCACTCCCCCCCCTTCTTGCCCTCCCCCTACTCCTGGGGGAACGGAGAGGAGAATCAGAAAGAATGCAACTCCCACGGGTTGAGATAAGAACAGTTTAGTAACTAAGGTATAACACAAATCACCACCGCCACCACCAACAATAGCAATGACAAAGGAAATAACAAGGGAAGAGAATACAACACCTCATCACCAGCCGACCGATAACTCGCTCCCCCCAGCCCGACCAAGCACCGACCAATACCTCCTCCAACCCTGCAGTCCACCTAGCCCTTCCGGGTCCCTCCCAGTTCCCTCCTGGGCATGACGTGCTGTGGTATGGAATACCTCTTTGGTCAGTTTGGGTCAGGTGTCCTGTCTCTGCTTCCTCCCGTCTTCCCTCCTCCCTGGCAGAGCATGAGGCTCACAAAGTCCTTAGCCAAACCAAAACATTTTTATCAGCTTTGTTCCCAGGCTGAAAGTCAAAACACAGCACTGCACCAGCTACCAAAGAGAAAAAATGACTGTCACTGCTAAACCCAGGACACACAGAACGTTCTGTAACACGTTCTGTACACACGTTCTGTAACACAGTTCTATAGAAGCAGTGTTTATCACAGAATAAAACTACAGCCCTGTCTCTTCTCCTCCTCTATACAACTACCAGCCATTTTAACGTAAAGGATATTCTGTATTCATTTAGTTTTTTCAGCTCTTCTTCTCTTTGTTGCTTTTCTAGTAGCTCTTGCTGCTGAGAAACCTCATCAAGGAAATGAGTCTCATCTTCATCTAAGCCTCTTACCATATTTTCTGAATAAAGGAAAAGAATGCATGTTGATAAGATAAAACCACTTAGGAAACAGCTGGATTCTGTAATTAAGGAGTGGAAACACTAGAAGTCTTTCCCATCCAGTTTGCTAGCAGTCAGTTTCCTGGTGGCTACCTGAACAAGAATTGCTTAGTCACATCACCAATGATGACCTGGACCAAGAGTTTACTTCAGTAAACTGTAAACTCTCCATCTGGAAAGAATCCTGTAGGCACAGTTGGAGACTTTTATGCATTCATGCTGCCATCTGTACTTCCCACTTTTCACCACCAAAAATACAAGTGACTCTTGAGAGACAGGAAATAACTTCCACTTCTCCTTATTTTGGTTACATAATCATTCAGAAATATTTTTTTTTTAAGTTGCATTATAGAGAATGGAAAGAAATTCTTCCCTGTGAGGGTGATGAGACGCTGGCACAGGTTGCCCAGAAAAGGTGTGGCTGACCCATCCCTGGCAGTGTTCAAGGCCATGTTGGACAGGGCTTGGAGCAACCTGCTCTAGTGGAGGGTATCCGTGCCCGTGGCAGGGGGTTGGAACTGGGTGAGCTTTAAAGTCCCTTCCAACACAAATCACTCTTGTGATTCTATGATTATTCTTCATTTAAAATGTTGTAACAGTCTACTAAAATTACTTTGAAAAGGAAGACATTCTTGCAATGCTGAATAACCCAGCAGAAAGAACTGCTAGTCTGCGTACTGGATTTAATGTGCACAAAAAGTTTAGAGTGTAACTAAGTTTGTGTATTTATGTGAACACAATTCTTCAGCATTAAGGTGTTTCTCCTCCGAAGTCCCATCACCAATTCTGACAGATCAGAATGACAGCGCACTAAACTCATTTTCTACACCTCCAAAATTCCCATGGATAGAAAAATTATTTATGAACATTTTAAGGCAAATTCAAGCATATAAGGGGACAAATCTTGTCACAAGTGGCCAAATTGAGATGAACTCTGATGAGGTAAAACTAGTGGTCCAAAGTCCACCCAACACTAATTGTTAGTTAGTCAGTTCCTCCCACTTACCTTCTCTCCCAAAGAAATTTGGCTATAGGAATGATTCTAAAAGCATCTACTACAAAACAGCAAAGGTAGTCATGGTCATCAGTGCCGTACTCGATAGCATCTGCAGGGGCAGGGAGTATTACCTAAGGAAACTCAGATTGTCCCAAACATAAAGGTAAAACGTGATTTTGTCACATCACAAATGCAAGAGAAATTCTAGACAGAATCCAGCTAGACAAATTCGAGCTTAAAGAACACAATCATTTAAGGGTAAGGCTTCCAGCTAAAGAACGAAAATGGATCAGAACCCACCTTAAAATGGAGTCTCACAGTATCATCCCCACTTCTCTTTAGATAAGAGCCAATAGCTCCCTTTTTCCCAAAATGGTGGACTAATAATTTTCTAGTTCTCATTATCATCTTTGCACTCAGCAGCACATGCAATACAATGCAAAGGATTTTTCTATAAAACCAGAAATTCAAACAACAGCAGAAATTAGGTTTCTACTTCATCAGAAGAGCTAAACACCTACTTTTAGAATAATCAGCTCCTGCATGTTTAGCCATCTTGAGCTTCAACTCACTTTTGTGTCAACTAATTATGGCTTGGAAATCTAACAGCTGCTGAAACAGGGTTTTTTTTTTATTGATTCAAATAGAGTTTGTTGTGGTTTAAGCCCAGCTGGTAACTCAGAACCACGCAGATGCTCGTTCATCCCGAGGGGGATGGGGAGGAGAATTCAAAGAATACAGAACTACTACTGCTACCACCAATAAATAATAATAAGGGAAATAACAAAGGGAGATAATATAAAACTAAAAGGGGAAAAGGAAAAACAAAACACAATAAACTAAAGTGATGCCAAATACAATTGCTCACCACCCACCAACTGATACCCAGCCTGACCTGAGCAGTGATCTGGGACTTCTGGGTGACTCCTCCCAGTTATACTGGGCATGACATGCTCTGGGGTGGAATACCCCTTTGGCTAGTTTGAGTCAGATGTCCTGCCTCTGCTTCCTTCTGGCTTCCCCTCCTCTCTGGCAGAGCATGAGACTGAGAAAGTCCTTGATCGGAGTAAGCATTACTTAGCAACAACTAAAAACATCGTGTTATCAGGACTGTTCTCAGGCTAAAGTTGAAAACACAGCACTGCAGCAACAACTAAAAAGGGGAAAAAAACCCTGCTACAGCTGAAACCAGGACAGAGTTCAAGAGTCTGAAAACCACATTACATTTCCACTCTTCCAGGAACTGGTATCAGGGAATTTTTTGATTTAATTGTGCAAAATAAGCCAAGCATTCCATGCTTTACAGGAATGCAGTTTTGAAACTGCAAGCAACTTTGGAGGGTCACAGCTGCACAGTGCTGTCACAGGGCCCAGGACAATGTGTTGTCTGCAGGAACATCTACCACCCTTGAACAATACAAGACATGAATAATACTTTTCTGAAGCCTCTATTTATCTCTCAGAAACAGACAAAACACAGATATGTCCCTCAGTCAGATGTTGTATACAGCTGTTGCACACAATACATGCAGCTTGCTGGGTTTTGGTTCAAAATAGGAACTAATGGTGCTTACTGAATTTAAACTGCTCCTCAAACTCCTTCTGCATTTTTTCTCTCTGCTCCTGAAGTATTTCAGACAAGGAATGTGAGCTGTATGCCTCCTCTGGACATTCTGAAAGGAAGGAACAAATCGGGAAATGAGACCATACATTAGAAACACTAAATCACCAACAAATCTTAGTTCCTTTATGTAGAAACCTTTTGAAATCGTAGAATACAAACTATTACCTTTTATTTCTGTTTTCCACAAAAGCAAAATATTCTCAGATCTCCTTCCTAAAATTATTAAAATTTATCCCATACCTTCTGGATCCTCAGGTTTTCGGACCTTTTCCCATTGCTCTTGCCTCCTCTTCTGTCGCTCCTCTAGCTCAGATTCAGATACAAATCTCTTGTGAATCACAAGGTCAGCAGTACCATCTGTCCCATCCATTGTGGAAGAGCCCGTCCTAAAAACACAATATGAAAGACGTCACAGACCTGATATCACTTATCAGTTCATAACAGGTTACTACACATACTGAAAAACAGACCTGCAGCACTGGTAATAATTTCAGTTCTCTAAAGACCACCACAATGATTGAGATACCTACTGATGTGGTTTAAGCCCAGTCAGTAACCCAGAACCATGCAGCCACTTGCTCACTCACCCCCCTTCTTCCTCCCCCCACTCCCAGAGGGATGGGGAGGAGAATCGAAAGAATGTACCTCCCATGGACTGAGATAAGAACAGCCCAGTAACTAAGGTATAATACAAAACCACTACTGCTATCACCAATAATGACAATGATAAAAGAAATAATAAGGGAAGAGAAGATAACCGCTCACCACCTGCAGACCAATACCCTGATATAAGGAAAGCAAGTGCCTGGAAAACATAGCGTTAAAATACTTTTAACTTAACTTAGGTCTAAGATAGAGAACAATGTGTTGCAAGTCTGTGGTGTGATAACAGAACTTAGTAGTCTTACTAACAAGAGTGAATTGTTTCCTTTCATCCTTCTAATGAGTGAAGTATGTCTTACCATACTTGTAATTATCAGTTATTTTGGAGACAGTGACTCCCAAACATCTGCTAGCTTGGGAGGCAATAAATTTTGTAGATGAAAGTCACATGCACTGTTTTAAATCTTTGCCAGCTATCAGAAACTTGCAGATATGGCTGGTTTCAGCTAATTTGTGATTACCGGGGCATCCAACTGTGCCAAAGGTGAAAAGTGCACCCTGAGAGAGACTGCTTACTTCATCTTGAAGACCCCTGCCCACATGAGGAAGGCTACTTACTTCATCTTGAAGACCCCTGCCCAGGACCATCAGAGGGCTAATTGCAATATATCTCCCCCTCCCCCCCCCCCCCGGTAACCTAATGAATATGTATGTTTGCATGTTAATAAATATCTGCTTGCTTAACCCCTCAGTGTGCAAGTTAGGAGGAGCAATCCCCCTTGTACCCAGCGCTGTAATAAACATACCTGCTTTAGAACTCGGAGTTGTAGAGTCTGATTCTGTGCTTCAGTTTGGCATCCCAGATGGGACCATCTCTGTCCGGTTGCAAGACCTGCTGAGGACGGGATTCCTCTGGGTGCCCCCGAGATTTCTCGGAAGAACTCCTCCACTCACTCAGATCACTGCAGGGGCAGACAAGGACCATCACTAGTGAATCACCAGGTATGTTTGAACCAGGTAAAGGGGATACCTATAAGTTGTAAGGAGATGTCCTACGTGAGGCAAAGAGCGCAGGTGCTCACTCCAAGGGTTTGGTGTATCGATACACAGGTCATAGGTAAAGGCGTATACCTGGCTGCTGGTATACACCCACAAGAAGCAGAGGGCATCTTGTGGTTTGGGTCCTACAAGACACAGGGGATGTCTTCTGGAAATGGTTTTGGGTCTTATTGGTATTCATCTTATTTTGTAGCTTGTTACAGTAATTATTTTGGTCTTCTGATTTTGGTATTGGTGACAGACTGTTATAACTGTGTTATTAATTGTTCATTTGGTTGAATTTTAGTCTCTGTCTCAGTGTTGCAACTGTGTGGAGCGTGTCTGTAGGATCCCGTATGTGTGTGAATGTGATATTGATAATGGAAAATCAGCAGAGTGGAGAGAACTTGGAAATGTCCTTTAGGGTGAATTTTGGCACATTGGAAAGAACTGGGAGGGTCTCCTGGGGGCTCAGTAAACAAGAAAATGTTGGTAAAATATTGTAACCAATGGTGGGCTTTGTATGTTTTGGAAGATCAGGAAAAATGGCCTAAAAATGGAACTCTGAACTATAATACATTGTTACAATTAATGTTGTTTTGAGGGGGCAAGGAAAATGGGATGAAGTAATGTATGCAGATATGTTTTTCACTTTAAGAAACTACGTGGAGTGACAGACTGAATGCAAAATTAATATAGCTCTGCCAGATCTCTTAATTTTAGCTGTGGAAAAGGACAGGGAAAAACAGAAAGCTAAGTTGGAGAGATGTTGTTCAGCCTGTGATACTGGGGGAATGATGTTTAAAGTTAAACAAACAAACAAACAAACAAAAAACCAGAGTAATCAGGAAGATAGGTTGCAAAATTATGTATCAAAGGTACCTGGAAGAGGAGAACCCTCTGCATCCGTCTTATCTGATATTGAGAAGGAGGAAGAGATGACTGTTACTGGCAACAAGCAGTAGATTCACATTCAGAGTTAAGAAAGAGTTAAAACAGAAGCGCTGTAGCAGAAGCAGGCATCTGCAGCCCCTGCAGAGCAGGGTGAGCAACTGTGAGGAAAAAGAAAAAGGGTAAACCAAGGGGGAAAGGAGGGGAGCTCACTCTGCTCCTGTGTTTGAGCATGGGATGAGTGCTGGGGCAGACGGACAGGTGGGAACAGACGTGTTGACAGACAGTACTGAGGGCTTGTTGGATTAATGAGGATGGGAGTGAAGGAGGAAGCATGAAGAATGTATAGGAATTGGGAACAGGTAGAAAAGAAAAAGCTGAGTCGGGCTATAGCCACGGCTACAGTGGCTGCTTTGAAACTGGTTGTGGAGGAATGTCAGGCAAAGGTGGAGGAGGGATGTCAGGTGGAGGTGGGGAAGTGGGTTCTTCTCCTGTAGGACCGCATCGGTGTGCGTGCTGTGGGGAGTTTGGACGTTGGAAGTGAGGCTGCCCTGGGGGGAGTGCCATGGGGTGGCTCCGGTGATTGAATTGTAACTAGACTGACAGGGACCTGGGGAATCTACCCTAGCAGATCCACTGGTTAAATTAAAGCCAGGGACTAGAGGAAATATAGTGTAATTTTAGTGGATACAGGAGCAACTTATTTAGCATTAAATCAGAGGGAAAAGAATTTGTTACAGTTGTAGCAGCTACTGGCTGCCAAGGAAAAGAGAAAAAAAAAAAAAGTATTCTTTCTGAAACCCTTAGAGTACAAATTGGGAAAACAAACAGGAATGCATAATTTTTTATGCATGAGAAATTCTCCAAAATCTTTATTAGGGTGAGAAGCAACACCTAAAGAAGGCAAAATGGAATGAAGAGTTAAAAACGATCAATTAATTACAGTTTTGAGTTTATCTTTCTCTTTTGCAGACACTCCTTTGTCGTGGGAAAAGAGCTTGCGTGCCTTTGTGAGGTTGGGAGTTATGCTGGTGGTGGCTTATGCTTCCGGTAGGGTCTCCCATGCCAGTCAAGTCTCAACTAAACGGTCAGACAAAGCGTGTCCATGGGCAGGATGGGCTCACTAGCCTTCGGGCAACCATCCTAGGAGAAGGGCAACTCTAACTTCAAACCCGGGCAGATGGAGCTTGTATAGCCCTGTAAGGCCATCCATCTAAGAAAAGGACACTAATCAAACCTACGACTTGAGGACTTTGCTGTCACCATCCAAGCTTGCTAGGCCCTGGCAGATAAACCTCAGGTGTAAAGAGTGGGGCTAGTTCTGCGCACGCTGTGCCTCACCTAAAAAATCCACTGCGCAGGCCCGAAGGGTTTACCCACACTTGCAAAGCCCTGTAGCGACAGGCGAGGGACGAAACGGCAGGTGATAAGGTGCACTGGAAGTCGCAGACCCAACCCTGCATGCAGGCAGTTCAGGACATTGATCACTCAAGACTGACCCAGGAGATGACAGTCTTGTTCAGCAACATCCTGAATGACCAAGCAGCCTTTATTTCAAGGACAGCACCGCTTGCTCCATATGGACAGAGGCCTAGAAAAGGTGGCCTAACCAAAGCTCATCTCCCCCTCCACCTGGTTAGCTAGCCGCGGCCAACGGGCATCTTATACTGTGGTTAATTAAAGACAAAGAGACAAAGGCATATATCTGCCTCCAAAGGTGTGTCCAGATTGACACTCGCATGTTGGAACATCAGAACCATACTTAATACAGGGAACAGCGGGCATCCTGAGCACCGTTCTGCGCTAATTGCCCACGAATTGTCACAAATTAACATCTGATATTGCTGCTCTTAGTGAAGTTTCCCTTCATGAGGAAGGTAGCCTTAAAGAACATGGTGCCGGCTATACACTCTACTGGTCAGGCAAATCCAAAACTGAAAGTCATCTTTCTGGAGTTGGCTTCATGATTAAAAACTCCAGTCTCTAAACTTGAAAATTTGTCGATAGGTCATTCCGATCGTATTATCTTCCTAAATCTTCCACTACACAATAAGCAACATGTTGTTCTTTTCAGTATATATGCTCCAACTCTGCAAGCTGACCCTGCAGAAAAAGAAAAATTCTACTCCGACCTGCGTCATCTCACTCAAAAGGTTCCTATAAAAGATCATAATCCTTGGTGACTTCAATGCCTGAGTAGGTAAGAACTTTGAACCCTGGAAAGGAGTACTAGGCAAGCACGGTGTTGGCAGCTGCAGTGATAACGGCTGCCTCTTACTAGAGTTCTTTGCAGAGCAACAGCTTACCATCACCAACACTATTTTCCAGCAGAATGACAGCCAGAAGACAACCTGGATGCATCCTTGATCTAAACATTGGCACCTTATTGATTACGTCTTAGTGCGCCAGAGAAATATTCGTGATGTCTGTCACATCCGAGTGATACCTAACGCAGAATGTCAAACAGATCACCGCCTTGTGCGTTGCAAACTTAATTTCCACTTCAAGCCCAAACCTAAGAGGGGTGGCATTCCGAGGAGGAGGCTCAATGTTAATAATCTTCAAATAGCTGCAGTGAGAGACAGCTTTCAGGCTAACATTCAAACTAGGCTTGAAAACCAGCTTACAGACTCTTCTCCTGAAGCGCTTTGGCAACATATTAAAAATAGCATCCTGCAGTCCTCCATAGAATCAATTGGTTCTCCTTAAAGAAAAACAAAGACTGGTTTGACGATAGCAACCAGGAGGTCCAGGAATTGCTGACAAAAAAGAGATCTGCTCATCAAGCACACCTTGCTCAGCCACTCTGCCATGTAAGAAAAGCAGTCTTTCATCTTGCATGTAGCAAACTCCAACAGAAACTTAGAGACATCCAGAACAAGTGGTGGCTCAAACTAGCAGAAAAGACTCAATTACGTGCAGATCTGGGTGACCACAGAGGATTCTATGAGGCTCTGAAGGCAGTGTATGGACCCACATTTCAGGTTCAAAGCCCCTTACTTAGTGCAGATGGCCAGACATTTCTTACAGATAAAATCTCCATCCTGAATCGTTGGTCTGAACATTTTCAAACCCTCTTTAGTGCTAATCGTGTAGTTCAAGGCGAAGGAATCCAGCACATTCTACAACATCCGGTGAAAAGTGAATTGGATTTAGCCCCTACCATGGGAGAGACTCTTAAGGCCATACAGCAGGTGAAAACTGGCAAGGCAGCTGGGGTTGACGGAGTCCCACCTGAAATATGGAAGCATGGAGGCCAAGCACTTCATGCTAAATTTCATGAATTAGTTGTGCGCTGCTGGGAATAAGGTAAATTACCATCAGATTTTCATGATGCAATCATTATCACTCTGTATAAGAAAAAAGGTGTCAAGCCAGACTGCTCAAGCTACCATGGTATAACTCTGCTCTCCATTGCTGGAAAAATTCTTGCAAGAATACTATTGAACAGATTAGTACCTGCTATCGCAGAAGAACTTCTACCTGAAAGTCAGTGTGGTTTCAAAGCTACCACAGACATGGTATTTGTTCTCAGACAACTGCAAGAAAAGTGTAGAGAACAGAACAAGGGACTCTATGTAACCTTCTGTCGTGGTTTAACCCCAGCCAGACAGCTTGTGCACTCACTCCCCCCTCCTTCTTGCCCTCCCCCTACTCTTGGAAGGACGGAGAGAAGAATCAGAAAGAATGCGAC